TTTTTACTTAATTAAAGTCAAACAACATTATATTTATAGAAAAAAAATTGTTGAAAACATTCCACATGTTTAAAAATTAAAGATGAAATCCATTTTAAGTAATTATCGAAAATATTTTGGTAGCCCTACATAAAATTTAAAGTCTCAAGTCCCCACTTTTCTAGTTTCTTTATCTATATTTTTGCTTTCAGCATTGTTTACAGATAACTATTTTATCAAAGTACGTAGAATTTGATATGCTGTCTCATAACATTTACCATCGTTATCTGTATTTTCAAGATGGCAGAATTGTATGAATAGCATTATATTATATTGTATACAAGATACAATGTGTATCGATGTGAGTTCATGTATTATGACAAAAATAAAATTGAAAGATTCTTACAATTATATATATTTATATAATTGTAAGAATCTTTCAATTTTATGTATGAGTATAATTGACTTATTACTTACTTATTATTATTATAATTAATTTTGTACTGACTAATTTGAATCCAATAAAATTTTCTATCGAATTTCGTCTGGAATGGAAATACAACGATCGGCATTGGAAAAATAGAAATTGTTCATTGATTCCTTTTTTTTTTTTTTTTAATAATAAAATCTTTTTTTTTAAAAAAAGATCGATGATTGGAAATATCGTTGATGTAACGGTGAAAGAATCACAGGAGGTCTATAAAATTTAACAGGAATTTCGCAAGGCCGCGAAAAATTTCCATATCGCGTATCGATCGTGAAATTTTTTGCATCTTGTGGGAATAGCATAGTTTAATCAAGTCACGATATAATGGATTCGCTTTGATTCTCAATTCTGTTTATGAAGTGTTTGAAGCGTTAAAAAATTTAGTAATTTAATTAAGAAAGCTTTACAACATAATAATTCTTGAATTTTTATCGTAAAATTCACAAATTTCATTTGATGTAAGAAATTCTTTTATAATAATTATACATAATTACAAAATTGTCTTAAAGAAAATTAAATCTAAATTGAAGAAAGAATAAAGATGAATATTTTTCAGAATATTTTTCTATTTTTCTGGGAAAATAAATAATTACCAAAAATCGATTTTCAATTGTTTTTATTATAATATTCATATACATATACGTGTATACAAACAAGTATATAACATCGATTTCATATTTGCATTTGAATTACATATTAAATTATTTATAAAATCAATATGTACAGTTGAAATTATTGAAGTATTATACATACAAGAGGATAAGAGAAAGAAAGAGTAAAAAAAATTTTTTTTTTCTTTTAGAGACACTTCATGTCTAATACAGAATTTTTTAAACTTTCTGACATAACACGAAAGATTCAACTAAATGTCCTGCGAAAAATTTACTGTACGAGTATAAAAAACTTTTTCGTAAATCGCATTTTTATTATGACAGATTACTAAACAGCTAAAAAGGTGGAAAGTTATTAACCGTGAAAAGTATAGCGTGCAAGTTGGAAGCACGAAATTCTAAACTACTCGAAGCTCGTTGGAAGTTGTTTGACACCTTAACTGTCTCGTGCACCGAGATACTCGGGTGACGGTAAAACTGTGCACAATGTGAGTTTTTGCCTTGGTTGTCGGAAGTTTGCGTGCATCCCATCGTTGAGCAAATATACATTCGTACATTGACGTCCAAGCTCATCGAGTGTTACTTTTGTTGTAGTAAAACTTTGTGCTTTTTTTTTTGTATCCTTTCATTCGCACTTTTTATTATCAAATTAACAATTCGATTCAATTTATTTATATATTTTTTTCCATTATAGGAATATATTAATTTTACTTTAATATAAGTTTATATTTTTATTATAGAAAATTGCAAAGTATATCGAGAAAACTATTAAAATTTCATATTTTAAAAGTTGCTATATGCAAGCATTTATAAAAACTTAAAAAAAGTATACTTTCTATACCTGACTTCAGACTTTCATTCTTCAAAAATCTTCATAAAGGAATATTTTTTAAGTTATAAATTTTAAAATTTTATGAATATTAATTATCTCAAAAAGTTAAATATATTAGTATATTATTAATATATTAGTATATTATTATTAAGTATATTTTTATATTACTAGTATTAATATTGTTATTACATTATAGCATTGAGAAACTTTTATTTTAACTTTTACAATACATGGCCATATTAATATATTTATCTATTTTAACTCTCTTTATTATCTATTTTAACTCTCTTTTTGTTTTCATACTAAAAATCGAATAATATATAATTAATCCTGTTCCTTCTATTTACATATCTTCATTATTATTATTAAAATAATTTTAATTACATAAATAATGAATTTAATCTTACATAAAAATTTCAGTAAAAAGATTAACTTCTTAGTCAAGAAAACAACTTAATTAAATATTCTTAATGAATTATAAATTTCATTCATAGATTTCCATAAAAATAAAATCTAAGGACTTAATTTGCATATTGATATCTGTATCTATATAGACAAATAAATCAAATATACATAAAAAATATATATATATAAAACGAAAGAGATACCGTTAACCCAAACTTCTACATCGATCACTATCCACCGATCCAACAGTGAACACGTTAACGCAATAAATTAAATTTTCAACAACGTTACGAAACTCCCGTTTGACTTCCTTTCGAAAACATTCACGATTCACAAAAAAAAAAAAAAAAAAAAATAAATAAATAAAAGAAAAAAGAAAAAAAAATTGGAAAGAAAACTAACGGTGAGTATTAGCTTCCGTCCTGTTCCTGCGGAAATTGAATTTTCACTGGCCTCGCAGTGAATCGGTCAATTAATGCGTGGACGTTTGACGTCCTCCGCGTCCGCGATAAATTGCGATCGAAATTTCGAGTGCGCCCCCGTGTATTTAACGAAATCGCGAGCCGCGGTCTATTAGCGAACGCATTACGTAAATTATATTGGGCCTGCGCATTAATCAACGCAAGAAATATGCTTTGGCCACGTATGCGGAATATTTAATGGCGGGGGCCCCCGTTGCACGCTTTGGAACGTTCCCTTCCACTTCCCCCCCTTTCTCGCTGTTCGATGATAATTACGGCTAATTAGAGATAGCCCCCCTCCGATCATTGGTTAAGGGGGAAGACTTGTAGTTAGCAACTGTTGCTCACGAATTAATACCGAGTCCGATCACGTAGCCCAATAATAGCATCAATCATTGAATCCTAAGGAGCCACGAGCCTTGTAATTATGGTGCGGCTGCGTATCGCCAATTCACAGTTTGTAATCAATAGCGCGTAATCTGGCTTCGAAATGAAACGCTTACACCAGTGTCGATCGTTTCGCGCGAATTATAAATAGGTCTGATTACGAATAGGTCAAGTATCATTTGTGATAACGAGGAATATTTTTCACGATGTTATATATATATTTTTTTTTTTTTAAATTATCGGTCGTTCGTAAATAAGGAGGATAATCAAAATAAAAAAAAAAAAATTATAGAATAATAATTATCTTTTCAATTAAAATTGTTTACTTTAATAAGAAGATTAAAAATTTTTTTCATCGTTGAATAAATATTATCAATGAGTATTAGTATCAATAATTTATTTAATTGTAACAATTGTAACAATCGATGAGAAAAATTGTATTTGCTTATTTTTATATGTAGAATTATCTTCTACTGATTCATTAATTCATTTGTATCTAATAAATTAATTTATCTAAGTTTAAATATTTTTCAAATTTGATTACATAAATATTAACACAAAAAAAAACAAAGTGAAAACATTTTATTCTTTCTTTTTATATTATTCTTTCACGAGAAATCAAGCTTTGTTTGGTTATATCAATAGCAGGACGAAAAATCGCAATAAAATCCAAATTTTTTTTCTCTATGACATTGTTATATTGTAGATAAAATATTAGACATATTTTGAAATAAATAACAACAAATAATAAAATTTTTTTTTGTTTCAGTAGAATGCAAGTTAAAAATAAGAGGATAAAAACTTTATACAGATTAAATTTTATTGATACAAATATATATATATTAATATCTCTTTAATATCATAATTAATTACAAATTATGATATTACATATACTACCAAGTTTTTATATAAACTAGAATTTTATGTGAATTAATTTGAATGGAAATTAAAATTATAAATATAATTTGAAAATATTAAGCTTCGTCTCTGTGTTGAATAGTTATCTCGGAAATCTAGAATTTCATCAATGAATTTATTATATCATGTTATATTCTTTGTTTAAAATTGATTGCTCGATCTTATTTGCCTATTGTTAATAGTCATGAGAAATTCTCTATTTTAACTTTAATTCGACTTGGACTCATTTATAAGATGAAAATGACTATTGAATTTGTTTTCATTTTCTTCCTTAGATATTAAGAATTTTTTTTCAAACAATAAATATGACATATTTATTTTATTATTTTTAATATTTTCCATTCTTTATTTTTCTTTATTGCATATTTTTATTTTCGATACATTTTAAATTATATTTTAAAATTGCTTTTTTATTTCTCAGTTGAAAGAATAATTTTTTTATTTTATAAACTGTTTTTATTCAAAATGATAAAAAATTCTAATTATGAAAATTTTTTTTAATATATTCAATCATAGTCTAAAATCATTACAAAATAATTATTTTTTATCTAAACATTAAACCTGATAACTAAAATTAAATTAAATATTTATTAAATTTTTTTTATTTTTTCCATTTCTTTCCGTAAAAAAATCTGTGAAATTCTGAAATAAAATAATATATGGAAAAAATATGCATAGAAAAATATTAATTATTTTGCTTATTGTTTAACATAATTTTAAATAAGAATTTTTTATTTTAATGACTAAATGTCTTTTTAATATTATTTTAATCATTTAAACTAAAAAATTTATTATATTTTTTAGTTTATTATAATTTTTAAATTTATTATAATCAATGATTTTAGAAATTATAATCAAATGATTGATTAGCATTGGACAAAATTTTAATTTTTATCGTTTCTATCCCAAAATATAAGAAAAAAGAATTTGATATATTATAAAATCCGTCGGTATTGCATGATGTTCTTTTCCCTCATCTGAATAACAATTTGCATTCAATAAGCTCTAGCAATCAATTCAGCTTATTCGAAACTTGACAGCTTGCTAGCTATACTTACTTGCACTTCAGGTCGCATACTGAGGGCATAGATCACAGCATTTGCGATATCCTCCGCTTTAAGAATCGGCATATTTTTTATAACTTCCATTACATGGGGCGAATGTTTGAATAGATCCGTTTCAACTAAACCTGGATTGATACTCTGCGAACAAAAACGAAGAACATTAAAATCAACAAGAGAGACTTTTCTTCAGAATCAAAATAAAAAACTCCATAAAAAGACTTAGTAAATTTATCGAAAAATTATTTCCTCCGTTAATTTCAATGATCTTACATTCTTACAAATATGATCACCTTTTCATCGTATTTATCGAAATAAATTTTCAAAATAATATTCTTAATGTATTTTAATGTTATTGAAATCGGTGATGACACATCTTTTCGAAAAATTGACCAAAGTCTTTACAACTGGATGGAATTCACGCGAACTTACGGTGATTCGAATCGGTGCTTTAATGTCTATCAATTCTTGTTTTACTGACTGCATTAATGTAACATTGGCATGTTTGCAAACCGGGTACAGGTTCCAGCCATTACAACCATCGATTTCCGAAAAGACTGCAGTCGGAATTTTACGTCCCAGTACGCTGCCGTGCGAAACAAAAAATTTCTTCAACAGGCCGCCCATTTGGATGGCATTTTATTCAAATCGACTTCGAGCGAAAACAGCTAGAACGTTTGTTTCGGTCTTAAAAGCGTCAATCCTCTTTTTTCCCCCCTTTTTCGTATTTTTTTTTTTTTTTTACTCACTTTTTATTTTTATTTTTCTTCTTTTTTAGTTTGTTGGAAAAGAGACAAGGAAAATTTCCGAACGTTTTCTCAAACAATACGATCCTCTAACAAGCGTCTTTTTTTTTCCCCTCTGACATACATTTTTCGTCGCGTGTTCAATCTTCCGATGGAAGGTTTCCATAAAGCTTACGAGTTTGCTAACGGAATAATAGCTGAAAACTCTTGACCGTCACAAATGTTGAAACATTCTTTGTTCACGCTCGAAGAAGATGATTTTATGAAATATTCTAAGACTTTTGGGACTTCTTTGAATTTTTAAAAACATTTTTAATTTAAAAATTTAAATTATTTTTCTTCAAATTATTTATTATATTGTTATGTCATTGTTATATAACAATGATATGAATAAGGTATCATAAAAATATTTAAAGAAAATTAGAATATATCGAGTTTATTTTTTACTGATTTATATTTTTATATTTTTACTGATTTTTTATGTATTTATGAAAAATTTAAATATTTAAAAATGTACAAAATATATACGATAAAAAAAAACTAAAAAAAATAACCAAAATAAATACATATTATAATATTTATTTAATTATAGTTATCAATAATGTTAAAAAAATCATAAAAATTCAAAATTATCATAAAAATTATAATAATTATAATGAGTCTAATAAAAGTTTTGAGATGTATTATTTTAATAAAATTCAAAAGATTTAAATAGTACTAAATTGAAAAATTAATATTGAAAATCATTTTGGTATCTAAAAAGGAATTTTTTTTAATTAAATAATATTTCGTAAACAACTAACGAGTAAATTAATAAAGCATGAAAGTAAACTCGACGAAATTTGCAAGAAACAAACGAAATAAAATGTGGGCGCGAAGGGTTCAAATGCAAGGGGATGAACGATCGACGAACAAGACATGGCTCGCGAGTAACAATACCTGTTGATATTGAAAATATGCCCTTCGACGTTTCGTTGGCGCATTGAGCGCACCGCCCGGTTGATGCACATGGCGGTCGCGAGGACATTAATATTTAACAGCTTTTCGAATGCCGCCCTGTCGCTCTCTGCAAGTGTAATTTATGGAATTTTTTAAAATGCGCCAACGAGCAGGCGAACGAGGTTCCAAACGTAATACTCTCGACCCGTCTCGTCCCTTATGGACCAACTGTACACAGCGTATAAAGGTAACGAGCCTCCCCTCCACGAGTCTCTTTTTCCAGTATAAGTAACTCTTATGCTTTTTATCGTTCATATAGGATGATGAAAAAAAGAAGTTAGTAATATTTTGAATAAAGGACAGAGATAGATCGAAACTTAATTTTTAGAATCACAAAAGTCGAATTTGAGACTTTGAAGTTCTTTGAAATTCGAAATGAAATTCAAAAATATTTATTTTTCTTCTTTTCTTTCTTTCTTGTTTTTTTTTTTTCTAATAAATACTATTTATTAGAATACTATTTATTTTGAGAAGATTTAATTCTCACTTTGTCGAGAATTCTATATATGAAGATTTTAATAAATTAAATTTTCATTTTATTTAACACTATTGTTTTTATATGGAAATATTTTATAATTATTTATTATAATTATTAATTATTATATTATATTAGTTGACAGAAATACAATTTGTTAAAAATAATTATGCATTCTTTATGCATCATTATTGAATATGTAGAAAGTATATGAGTCTTGATAATATGTAATATATAATTGAATATATAGATATAATAGAAATAATAGTAATGATTAATCATTAAATTCATATTTTAATTATTAAAACAACAAGTCAGATGAAGTTTGATAAGTCAATAAGTAAAAACTTACACTTTAATTATAATGATTCTGATCCAGATTGTCGTGAATTCATAGTTTTGAATGTCAGTTATCACGATATAATATATTTGTAGAAATAGTAGATAAGTAGTATGATACAAATGTCGTCACGGATACATATGTATAAATAAAGTTCAATATAGTAGATACAATAATTTTTTTTTATTAATATTTTGAAAACAATGAATTTGAATTTTCGATAATCCAAATCACAATTATTGTAACTTTTGATACAAATTTTCCATTGAATTATCACATGTTTTACAATTAAAGTCATGTCAAATTCATAAATGCAGATATATTTTCAATCAAAATAAATTCAAGTTAAACTTTAATGTGAAGAATAAATTATAATTTACAATACAATTAAACAGAGTGCAATTTTTTATAAAAAAAAAAATAAGAAGAAGAAGAATATTTTAATTCAGAGCTCAATTTTGAAAATTAATTAAATTATGAATTACGATTATTATATGATCAGCGACTACTCACTTATTTTACTCCATATTTATAAAAAAAAAGGAGAAAAAAAAATAATTTGTATTAAGATTTTTCATATTTCAATATCAATATAATGATTAATTATTATTATATAAAAGTATTTGCAGATATCGCAAAAAATAATCAAATAAAAATTGATAATTGATATTAAAAAAATAAATTTAAAAAAAATAAATAAAAATTATTGGTTGTGCATTTTGAATAAATATTCAAACATGTTGCTTCTTTTTTCTTTTATTACAGTTATTGTGAATTATCTTACCAATGATGCGTGAAAGTTCTATAACTTCAGCATTGTTTACCATAATATCCACGCCAGAGTTCCATTCAGTTTCCACAAATGAGAAACATCTTTCTAGATCCTTCTCATTGCTTGTATCGCAACGCATTATACATAATTTATTGCATCCTTCGAATTGCATCCACTCGTGATTCAACAATGATAATTTTTCTGTATTCACATCTAATGCGAGTACGTTTATTTTATTCTTCAGAAGAGCGATTGTGATTTCTTTTCCTATGCCCGATGCTGCACCAGTGACAATCGCGCATTTGTGGGCCCAGCGTTCCATAATTCTTTATTAATTAGATTAATTAAATTTTTTATTAGAAGGAATATTAAATTAGATTAAATTGAATTTAAATTTCTACGAGGATTATTTTTACTTATATTATTTTCGTGGATTATTTTTTACAAAGAATCTGTTATGAAATAAATTTAGTTATTAAATTTTCTAAATTTCCAGACTAATTTTTGGGAAAAATTAAGAACAATTTTTTTTTTTAAATCAAATAAAATCGAAGATTTGAATCAAAAGTTTACATATCATGTTATGCATATATCATCATGAATATGTATATATATTCTAATTATGCGATGCTATAAAAATAACTTATTGTAAAATTACAATCTATTTATTTACCTGAATTGTATTATGTAATTTCGTTTTCAAACTTATTATCAATAATCGTTAATTTTAACCGAGATTCTATTATCTAAATTAAAATTGAGCGTCAGTCTAATGTATTCTGTTATCTACAATAAACTAATGTATTACGTCCAATCCAATATGATTTATATGTATGACAAATTTATTTATTTGAACTTAGATTATTTGAAGAAAAAATTGCAATTAATGAGAGAAATTAATAAGCATACATGGTGGATGATGATGAAAAATTTTTTTTAATAATAGCTTATTATGTAAATAAATTGTTTGTTTATCTATCAGTTTATATAGATTAAATTTTAGATTAGGATTATATAAATTTTATTAATTAATTTAAATTTAATTATGAATATAATACATCATAAGTCCATATTTAAAATGCACAATCTAGAAGTGCCAATTAAAATTTTTGTAATTTTTTTTTAAAATTTATTTAAAACATTTTTTGCTATTTAAGTTCGATCTCTTTAGAAGTTGATTGAAGATTTCTCCGACAATATGATATTATATTTTTTTTCCTTTTTTAAAAAACTAAACTGAAGTCGTTGTAATTATATAAAATGTTATTACTTTCATATCAGGAGATTCAAGTAGATCAAAAAAATACTCGTACATCTGGTTTTTTTATTTTAATTTTAATAAAAACTAAAAATTATTCAAATAAAAATAATATGAATATAAAATATTAATTATTAACAGGATATAATGCAAATAATACACAAATCCTATAACAGGCAGGCCACTTCATAATTCCAATTTACATTATAAATGTTTAGTTAATGCAAATTGATCACTAGAAATCTATCAATTAATAATAATTCGATAACAACAAAAATTTAATGTAAATCTTCTTTTGATTAAATATCATTTGATTAATAATCAAAAACAGAATTAAATAGAAGTAATTATTAAAATAGTTGAATTTTATTTATTACTTCATAAGAATATAAAAAAAACAATTGTAGAATTCTATTTAAAAAATCACCGATAATCTTGAAATTTTATAAAAAAGATTCTGAAAACAAAATTCTTTCTACTATTATCAGATTTCTCTCTTAAAATAATGCAAACATATCATGAAAATTTTTTTCAAAAATAACGGAGACATTTATGTTCTTTAAGTATTCTATTATTCATTTCTATTTAAGTATCCTATATATGTATTATTTTTTGTTATGCATTATTAAAAAATTTTAATCTATATATTATTTTTGTAAATAATATATTACTAAAAATAATAATTAATATAAAATAATTTATATTTATATATTAATTATTTATATAAATTTGTTATGAAAAAAAGTAACAATAACACTTTTTAAACTCACTGTAATTACATAGAATATTTCAAATATAGCATACGATAAGAAAATGATAAAAGAAATCATTATGCCGATATAAAAAAGTAATCAGTTTTGAATTTATTAATAAAATTTTTATAATCCCAATTTAAATTTCTGATATTCTACAATTGTTTCATCATCATTAATAAATAATTAAATTTAAAAAAAGTAACTTAATCTAATTTTCTAATAATATTTATGTATCTAATTTTAATAATATAATATAATATACACACATCACAGTCACTCGTAATCACAATTCTCAGTCTTCACTCGCGAAAGAAACGCGTTATACTAAGTTCAGTATATATGAATTATTAATAGCAATATATAATATGTATGAATCATATGAAATCGAACTATTATCAATTTGACTTACAAATTAATCTTAGATTAATAGAAAACCTTGCTAGATGTTAAAAAATTATGATATGATATTAATCTTATCAAAAAAATTCATTATGATATGTATTCGTTTTGTATATATCTAGATATGTAAATTTTTTTTTCATTATTTCTAGAGTTATAAATAAATTTTTTTTTAATTTTTTTAATTTAATAATATTTTTATTATATTTTATCTTTTAATGTTTTTTTTATATTTTATTTTTAAAATAATTTAGACTAAACAATGTATTCAATATATGTTATAATAAGAATTGATAATCGATTGAAAAACCATTAAAAAAGCAAACATTACATTCATTATAATTTTAATATAACAGTTTTAAAGTTTATAACATATATTCATAATTGCATTATATATCATAATTGCATATTATTTTCAAACATTATTATTGTTTTTCAAAAGTCAAAAGTTACTATCGCCAATTTTTCCACATTTATAAAATTTAATAACTTAAAAAAATATATATTCGTTATAAATTAATTCATATAAATAAAATTACTATTTATTAATCATTATAAAAGATATTTATTGTTATATATTGTTATATTTATATTTTTTTAAAATAATTAATTTTTATATTATTATTTTATTATATAAGTATTATTTAATGAATTCAATTTTAAAAAAATTTTTTTTTTGACATATCAGATTTTACTATATTTTATTTTTATTATTTAATATTTGCAAATTTCATAAATAAATATTTGTATATACAATAATTTTATATTATTTCTATTTTTACTTATTTATATTTATATTCTATATGTGTATATATATATTCTAAAAAATAGCAACATAAATAATAATAATTATTTTTCATAAAAAATTATCGTCACAAAATAAATGAAAACATCATAAAAGAAATAAAACACAATAAATAATTATTTTTGTGTTATATTAAAACATAATTGTTATGTTAAAAAAGAATTTAGTTCAAATTCTCTAATTCTTTACATAATAATTATTCTGGTAATTATTTGAAAAAGAGGATTTTTCATCAATTTTAATGATTTTGAAATATAATGAAATATGAAATAAAAAATAAGATGTTAAATTTAACTTTTCTTTATCCATAAAATTGCTTGATATTAGTTTTTGAAACATTTGCAAAAAATAATTGCTATATACAATACACCTGTGACAGCATATGTGCAATAACAATATGTCACTTATTATTTTCTAAAAAATACAATATAGAAACATATAACGATGAGTTACAAAAGTACATTGAGTATAATCAATAATTAATAATTATTAATTATTACAGTTAATATTTATTTATAGAGAGATTCTTCAAATATGCGGGAAATAAAATATAAGACAAAACAAAACCAAAATTAGAGTGAATTATATTCTAGATAGATAATGTTTATATTGCTGTTATTGTAATTTTGATTATTGTAATTTCGCCTTGTTCTATATCTTATTTTCGCGTTCTGCGGATTCGAAGAATTCATGAAATTCAATTCAAATTCTCTATGTTAATAAATAAATACTAATAATAGATGAACAATAGCAGAATTTCAAGTTTGATATATATTGAGATTGAAATATTTCGAAAAATACATTCACTTATTATAGCTATTACAAATTATTATAGGAAATAGTTTTATATCGTTATATTAGTTTTTTGGCACTACAATATATATTCATAAAAGATAAGTATTTAATATAGTTTTTAATATATGCATGTTTATGCATATATTATTACGGATGCATATATATATAGACGAAATTCTATGCAATAGTAGATTTTTTTCTATTTGGATTATAAAAGAAGATATCATCTATGACATTATTCAAAGTCAGACTTTTTCCGCATTCCACTCCTCTTACATGTAATATATACATGTTTGACATACAAAAACATTGTATATCCATATCCACTTCCAGACGAGCTATTATGGATTAGATAGCCAGCATTTGCTGGTTTTATTACAACCTCTATGTACTCGTTTTAAGTGAAGCACGACGTGAGTGCTGTCGCAATCTCTTGTACGCCAGTAGCATCAATTTCTGCATGCGATTTGTCGACTGAAAAGATGGCCGGAATATCAGGCGTCGACTCAAAAGAGATTTCATGGGACAATTTCAAGATACGTGTCTTACGTTCTTTAAAAAAATCTTTCGATTCTCGTCTTACGGAAAAACTACTAATTGATGGCGAATGCGGTTCTTGTGTCGAGAGATAAACCATGCTCTTGAAATACGGGAATTGTAATTCGGATTAAAGTTCGAGTAGAAATAAGAATGAAACATAATGACAAAATTTCTTTTTGTTATTCATTTCTAATAGTGAATAAAAATTGCTCTCGATATTATAATGTTTAAACTATTAAAATCTGAATTTGATCAATAAATTTTTTGAAATTGCAAACAGTTTAAAAATTATTATATTCATTGATTTCATAGATTTTTGTTCAATAATAAAATATTTTCAGAAAATAATATTTTTTATTTTTATACTTAAAAATAATTTTGCACTAAGGAGTTCGAATTAAATATGGAATAAATTAAAGATTAGATAAATATATTATTAGATTAGATATTATATGATTAGATTAAATATATGAAATAATACATTATCATTTTATATATTCATTTTAATATATCGATAAATTTATAATATATGAGAGAAAAATATACTTATTTTAGCTTTTATATCGCATTAATTACTAAAATCATGAATAATTTATAACATCTATTAATATACCCATTCATTTCGCTTCATTCAAAATTATATTATTTATAATTTGAAAAATAAATTTCAAAAAATATTTTTGTATGCCAATATTTATTTTAAAATCATTTTTTAAATATTTTATCTATATTATTCGAATTCTGTAGAATCAATAATTGATTTATATTCATATAAAAATATTCGTATAAATATTCATATAAAAATATTCGTATATTACATAATTTTGGATGAGATAGCTTGATTTCGTAAAAGTATAAAACATTCTTTTGATTTTTATTTATTTTTGATACTATATTGTGTATTGCGTACAAAATAACTATCATTTTTATTTGCTTTTAATTTAAAAATCAGATAAATTATATATAATATAAAATTTATATATTTCCGAAAACTTTTTATGTATCTTTCAAACTACACTTTAATTGATATTTTATCAAAAAATAATTTTTTGATAAATGCAATCCATAATATAATGTTTAAAAACTAAATTTTAGGTATATATCGTATGATGAAATATTATCGTATGATTATTAAAAAAACAAATGATATATAATTACTTTTTGATTTTTAAAAGACTTGGGTTACGAGATAAGTGACCTAAATAAATAAAAATTAATACGTTATATTAATAGAATCAGAATTTAATAAAAAATTTCTGAAATAGAGATACATCATTGAATGAGATTAGCCCAGTTTAATGAATAAAATTCAACAAATCAGAAAACAGACTACTTATTTTCTTAATTCTTGAAAACATAAAAAAAAAGCACTTGAAAAAAAATTTGCAATTGAAAAAATTGGAAGATTCAAACGAGTAATATTTATCAATGAAAATTTTTCAGATTTTAGAGTATAAGAAAATAATATTCCTAGAGAAAAAATGATAATATTGAATACATACGATATGAAATAATAAAATCATATATTAAATTCGATGACAAGATGATTAAATTCGATGATTGATTTATGAAAAATGATTTCACGATGGATATTCAGAATTTTTTAATATATATAAACAATATAGAAACATTTTAAAAAAGAAAATAATTTTTTATTTTATTAAACTTATAACATATATTTTTTATCCATCATACTGATCACATTGAAACAAAGTTCATCTCACTGAATAATCTGAGATGACCTTAGAATTTAATTATTTTTTTTTCAAAATCTATAATTATTTTTTCTTTTTTTCTTTTTTATTATTATATAAATCTATATATATTTACATTTGCAAATATATTTTTTTTGTTTAGATATTAATTAATTATTTAATTAATTAATTAAATTTAGTAGTTAAACTTATATTATATATATATATTCATTTTAAAAAATGTCCGGATCATCTCATCCGGATTTATCCTATAGTATTCAAAATCAATGAGTTTATTTTTTTACAAATAAACGATACCAGATTTTCAGACGCAATAACAATGGCGTATATCGATCTAGTCGGCAGCTGGTCGGATCCTGAGACCCGGGATATTATTCTCGTTCGCGCGGCACCGCGAGGAAATCAACAAGAAAACTAACCGGAAGCTTTACCCGTTTCCTGGTACCGAGCACCAGATGCTCCTCCAACAAAGTCATTTCTCAACGTTGCCGTGATTATACGAGTCCTCTCCCATTCTACCACTATCATTCTGATGGTATTTTTCATGCGAATCAGAGTTTTGTCGATTTCGGGATTTCACTTTTATAAGTTCTTTTACAATCTCGATGTCAGTGATCGTGAATTTATGGTAAAATCGTTCAAAAGTTCGTAGAAGTTCTAAAAATCTATTTTAAGTTGATTTATTATTTGATATATTATTTATAGTTGAAAGTTTTTTGTAATTATTTGCAAATTTTTGCAACTATTTTACAATTTATTTATTACGATGCATATAATTCACATTGTAATTATTTTATTTCTTTTTTCTGTCTATTATATATATGATATCAAATAATATATAATTATTAATAAATGAATAAAATATAATACAATAGAAAAATATATATATTAATTAAAATTGGAATAAATTTCTCATAAAATTATTATGTAAGAAAATATATTTATAATAATATTAATCAATTAATAAGTTACAAATTTATTTATTATTATAGGTAATTTTTATATTTGCAATTTTAAAGTTCTCAAACATGTTAACTATTAGGATTTGTAATTTCTAAATCTTTATTTTTGTTATCAAACCTATTATTTTTATGAAACAAATATCAAAATTGACAAATTATTATTATTTGCAATATTATTTTAATTTAGATATTATTTTAATTATGATAACTAAATAGAATGCAGATATTTTTACATTTATGTAAAATTTAAATCAAAATCTAAATCTATATCAAATCTATAGAATACAGATGATGTGCAAAAAAGACAAAAAATCAAACTATACTACTTAAACTATACTACTTTGAGGAATAAAACAAATTCCTATTTAAGTATCACTTTTTTAATGACGTTTATGTAAATATGATTTTAATAAAATATAAAAAAATTGCATAAAAATCTGCAATCTAACCATTATCGCTCTATTGTAGTATATTAATATTGTAATATATTATATGTATATAGTATTATATACGTATAATAAATATTCAGTAATAATCTTTGAATAATTTTATTCATTAAAAATTCATTTTATCTCGAGGGCGAAACGGGAATGTTATATAAATTTCGACGAAATGTAGATCCTATTTATCGCTCGTGTAGATACATTTATTTGCATGCATTTAATATTGAAATCCCGCCATACCACCGGAATAATACCGGTTTGTTTTCCATTAAAATCGGAGAGTTCGCCATTTGTGTACCTAAGAAATTCAAATACCACGGGCCAGCCAACCGACAGTATTATTCTGGTTCGTTGTAAATATCGAGGAAATCAACAAGAAAGTCCAAGCCGCTACACTTCCACGTTTCCACTGCCAGATGCTTCTGATCATTTCTCAACACTGCCGTGATTATCCGCATCGTTTTGTTACTGGGTACTGTTGCACTTTTTCTTTCCACGCGCGAGGGAATTATCGTGGACGCGTCACATCCACAAAGATACACGAATGTAATCCGATCCATGAGTATTTTTCAACGCGAGAAAAGAGAGAAATGCTTTCATCCGGCGGATTAATTGCTGGGCGAGGAATAATTTAAACGCTTTCGCAGCGCAAACAAATTTCACAGGATTCTTCCGCTGTTGTCGAGGAAATGTTTTTGATGCTTGTTTCTGATTTCGTTGTTTGCTCTCCATGATTGATTATTTCATGATTATCCTTATTATAATATTTTTGTATTTTCGATTAAGGTAAATTTTGAGGATACAAGTCCATATATTGTTTACAAAATTTACAACGGATATCTTGTAAAAAAATTGTAAAAATGTTTGATTGCAAAAAATTTGGATCAAATTTATCGTAATTATCAAATAATAATATTGAATCCTGATATTGGCTTCATTGTATCTCGAGATTTTTTTGTCTTTTGTCAAATATAGGAAAATCTGAAAAGTCCATTACAATTATGCTACAATACATCAATTTTGCATTATAAAATAATAATTGCATATGTATGTGAAAATATATACTTTTTATGTATATATTATACAATAGCTTTGATTCGTAAAGAACAATGAATAAAAAACGTTGAATAATAATAATCATGTATTGATCGAGCTTCCATTTAATTCGAATTATCGCAAAAAAAAAAAACTCGATTTTATTGAATCTCATTTACCTTAGTGTTAGACACTCGCAAAGAAAAATTGGAAGTAATATCTGAAACGCTTTGTTCCCGCAGGATGCACGTCATTCCCATGCGCACCGAGAGATGATGCGATTAACGAGCAAAGCGAAGGAAACTCCTCTTTTCCCTTAGCTTCCGTTAAAACAACAGACGTCCATCCCGGTAATTTCTCAACAGGAACTGTTATCACACGTATTCTTCCGTAATAATATAATTTTCCGCCCTTTATCGCGTAGATACGCTCGATAATGAGTTACGCGTTACGTCGTTGTATTCCTTTCATTTCTCTTTTCTCTTTTTTCTTTTTTTCTTTTTTTTTTTTTTTTTTTTTTTTTTTTTTTTTTTT